GAGATGTTTCGATACCCAACTAGGTAACATCTTCAGTGCTAGAAGGAAGCGAGGTTTGCTTTCTGTTTATATACAGTAATTTGCCCTATCAGTGTGGAGAGGAGTGTTTTCTCCTTGGTAGTTCCTTGATTAGGTTGTTGTTTACTGCTTGATTGTTTGTCTGAGTTGGTGGTTCCTTGATTAGGGTACTGTTTACTGCTTGATTATTTGGTGTTAATCCTGTTGTTAATCCCTTCTGAGAGAGAGAGAGAGGTAGGTAGGTAGGTAGGTAGGTAAGTAGATAGATAGATAGATAATAAATAGATGGAATTGTAGCATGGTGGCATGGACAGCAGTTCTGCACAGTGGAACAATAGACTAGATTTAAAGTCATCTGTGCATCCCTAGTAGAGTCTAATGTGAGGAATGTCTTAAATATATCTATCCATAAGAAGCTGGGTGGGATGAGTTCTTGGTCCACCTCAGTTGAGTTATAGAGGTACTCTTCAAAATTACCAAATGCATCATATTAATTTGTGTCATATAGCAAAGCATTATCACTATTACTATAATGCCAAAGTGGTGTCAGTGCTAAGCTTGCACTACTCACAACCTATTTGAATCTTAACTTCAAAGGGAATTTCTCCAGTTCAAAGCCCGCATAATAAATTCCCATGCTGCTCATTTTGCCCTAGCTTAGGCAGAAGGTACCTGGCATTTATTTCACAGCAGAGATATTAGCAGCCTGACATTTTTTTGTACCTAAAGCAGAGCAAAAAATGCCCTATTCCCAGTCAAGATACAGAGTACTTAAAATTATTTGGCATTTGAGGTAAAAAAAAAAACACACACAACATTTTTCCATATCCAACTTTTAAAGTAAATAATAACAAACTAAATCGCTAACAATTTGCTGACATTTTAAGATGTGTAAAACCTGCTGCTTGAAACAGGTGGGTCACTTTACCTGAAGGTAAGGACAGTCCTGCATTTGAGAGATCTTTGAAGATCTTTGAGATCTTTCCCCTGCACTTGAGAGATCCTTGAAGATCTTTGAGATCTTTCCCCTGCACTTGAGAGATCTTTGAAGATCTTTGAGATCTTTCCCCTGCACTTGAGAGGTCTTTGAAGCTTGTATGCACACATACCCCCAAATACCTACTAACTCCATGACAGTGCAGTGATTTGTGTCCCATGGGCTTCTGATTCCAGTTCTGGGGATTGAATATGATCACAATTTCAGGTTGACACCATGCTTTATGGCAGCATTTTTAATCCTGACCCAGACTCAGAGTACAGGAAGATATTCATGACACGATCTGTGTCTCGTCTTCCTTCCATTTTGTGCATTCGTTCAAAGCCATGAGCAACAAAATGCAATAATAAGAAGCAAATATGGATACTCCCTCCCCCCGGACCCCCAAGCATCCTCTGCAAAAACAATATTCTGGCTAAAAATAAGGGCCGACCCATAGCCTGAAGATGGAATAAATACAAAGATTGAATGTTTCTGCATATATTTTCATGCTTCTTCTGTCACCATCAGATTATAAGGATTATACTCTTCATGGTTCAGCCACCTTTTTTCTTTTCTCTGTGTGTATGAGCATTCTTGAAACTATAGCAATGGGGGGGGGGGAGTGCTTATTCTGCCTCTCTTCATCACCAGGTTATCATAAATCGACTCAAGGTGATTTGCAGGGAGGATCAGAAACAGCACATTGACAGCCGCAACTGCCAATCAAAACAGTTTTTTACATGTGTTGTGTGCACAATCCACTTTAAAAAGGAATGGGAGGTTGACAGTGTGGTTTCAACCACCATCTTGACTTGTATGCCTCTGCTGCCAACGACCTTGGACAGCCTGATCTTTCTCCTCTTTCTTATGACTGTGTCTATATAGTTGAGGAGCTCCAGTATCTTCCCCCAACCTCAGAGATGTACAGTTCCCTCTGGAACTGTGTCATGTATATTTTAGGTTTGTAACCTCTCCGCTATATCCTTTCCATAGGATTTTGCAGAAAAGTTGGCTGCCCTAATCTCTTTCCATCTGCTTTTTGGGTTCTCTGCATTACCTTTTCTCATCTTTCCTTTCAAATAGGATGTGGGGGTGGGAGGGGGAGGCAGAGAGGAAAGGAGAGAAATGCCACATACCACCCAAATATCCCCTTATAGTCTGGCTTCCCATTTTAGCCTCCCCTCAGTCTAGGCCAGTGTTTCTCAAGCTTGGCAACTTGAAGATGTGTGGACTTCAACTCCCAGAATTCCCCAGCCAGTATGGCAAGGTTGAGAAACACTGATCTAGGCAAAGGCTGGATAAATGTCAGAAATGAGCTTGCACAGAATATTTCCCAAAGTTTTTTGCAAAGCAGCATGAGTGGGTGGGGAGGGCATGTATTTGGTTATAAAAGACAGGCCTGCCAAATCATGCATAGATTTTCAGACAGCCCATATTCATGGTTACAATACAAGATATGGCTGAGAATAATATACATTAGTAAACGTCTTCACCTTGAGGAAGGTAAAGGTTTTTCAGAGCCGTAGCATTTTCCACAGGTCTTTCACGGCCTGTTTGTGGTGGAGAAGGAGGAAAAGGAATGTTCAGCTGAACCTCTACTGGCATCATTTTTTTCTTCCTTCTGCCTTTTTTCCCCCTACAGTGTCTCAACATGAGCAGAAAGCATTATCCTGGCTTTAATTTGGCTTTGTGAAGATATGAGATAGCCAGTGATGAGTGATGGTATTCGAAGTAAACCTAATGAAGAGCAAAGTTTTCTGCTTTCACTCTTAACTTCCCTCTACAGAGAGCAAGAGGCAAAAGGTAATATGATTATG